TGCTGATCTTAATAAGGGCACTGCTCATTTATTTGGAGAGGCCAGCCCGTGGCTCTGCAGTGCTATTCAGGCTATGCAATCAATCCACAGCCTATGCCAGAAAAGTGCCATGACTTACTGTGCTGTCAGGCAGCTGAGCTGTCTTACGGGGGCTTCTCCATTGCAAATACACAGGGAGGCAGTCAGCTCTGCTTCACAAGAGGACAGCTGGACACTTAAATTCCTGAGTCACTGCTCTCATTGCAAGTAGCAGCTGGGAATGTTTTCAATGCCTGCATTCAGGCACAGAACAGGGCAGGGCTAGAGCAACAAGAGCTAGAGGCAGTGAGGAGATACAAGGCTTTACCTTCTGTAATGCAGCCATTGCCACAATATCTACATGCACATCACAGGCCAATAAACAGTCCCTTTGTTCACCAGCTTCAGTCTAGAGAGGAACTGGAACAATGCAGCAAGGAGGGGTCTGGAGGTATGTACTAAAACTATTCTTGAAAGCTAGCCTGTGATGGTCCTCAGGGGTCTTCTGCCACACAGCTTGTCTTGCACAGCATCTATTGGTCTATAGAAGAGAACATAGTCTCTGAAGGTTGGAAATAATTTCCTCAGGCCCACACAACTCCTTCAGGCCCACACAGTATGTTCTGCAATGTTCCCCTATGCTATGTTCAATTCAACTTCCCTAAAACACAGAGCAGCACTGCTCTGGAGGGTCTTGGCCTAGTTACTGGTGATGAATTAGTCATGCTCACAAACTCTCTGCAGTTCAAGCTATATAGGGTTGCAGCTTTCAATCTTTCAGCAGCTACTGAGGTGCACTGGCAGAGCTCTGTAGGAATCCAGGACCAAAATAAGGTGCTACAGGCCAAAACCAAGGTGCACTGGCAGACCTGGAGAGAGAAATTTGTCCAGCACCTTCTGCTGCATATGGCTTCTGGTACTCATGTCTCTCTTTTTTTAAACACAGGGGTTGTATGTCAATTGGAAATAGGCTCTGGAAGCAATCACATTCCCATTGCATGCCAAGGAGGAAAAAGCAGAAGCCACAAATTTTGTTCTACCCACTCTCCCAAAATATTTATATATAAACAACCTAATTCCCTCCTTTTAGCTATCCTCTCTCTCAGGACTAGGAGACCAACCTTGTCATGCCATCCAGCCATGTACAGCACTGGTTTATTCACCCATCATTTCTTAATAGTGTAACTATACCATGTGCAGCAACAAGAGCCTTCTCTGGTTAGTCTGGATTTCACCTTCCTCCTTCTCTGCCTCATTTCAGCTCCTTGAAATGAAGCTAATAGGGTTCTCCAGTTTCCTTTTCAATCTGTGAGCTTCGACAGTTCCCCGTCACAGGTTTGGTGTTTTTGTTTAACTCCCTTGCAGTTGTCAGAATTGCTCTGGGTGGCTCGTGTTTTATTGGGCTTGGAAGGAGAAGCCACTGCAAAACATTTTAGATTAAAATAAACCAAGGCTTTTTATTTGGTAGTTCAATTTTACAGTCAGTTAAAGGAAGTGAGAGTGTCTTGATCAGTGCCCTGGGTCAAGGGAGGGCACAGGCACTGTAAACCATTCCTACTCATGGCTCGCTCAGTGCCCTGCCTGGCCTGATCCATGACACCCTCTTCAATCATCCAAGGGAATCACAGGCTGGGAATTTTAGCTCAGGCCCATTCC